GCTAACTTAGTGTAACTTTGGTTTTACAGTCAGATCTTCATAGAAATACTGTCTCAGAGAGAGAGGGAGAGAGAGAAAGAGAGAAAGTCTGTGGGAGCTTCCTGAGTGAAAGTTACATTTAATATCTTTATTTATTTTTACATGTGCCAGTATTTTTCCTGCATGTATGCAGTATGTATGTGTTCCATGTGAGTATCTAGTGCCTGTGGGGGTCAGAAGAGGGCCCTCCTGGAACTGGAGTTACAGATAGTTGTGGGTCACGATAGTACTGGGAAGTCCACATTTAATCTTTTTATTTTTTGAAACAGGTGTAGGCAGAGTTTTTCTGCCCCATCAGTCAACTCTGCCTCACCAGCTGGCTCCCCAAAATAACCACAGAGACTTATTATGAATTATAAATGATCAGCTGATAGCTTAGACTTGTTGCTAACTAGCTCTTTCAACTTAAATCTACCACAGGGCAGCACCTTTTTTCAGTATGGCATGTTCCTCTCCAGCGTCCTGAGTCTTTCTCTTGACTCCTCCCTTCTTCTCTCCCATGCTCTTTTTGTCCACAAGTCCTGCCTAACCTCTACCTGCCTATCTATTGGCCATTTAGCCCTTTATTAAACCAAAGAGAGTACCACATCTTCACAGTATACAAAAAGATTGCTCCACAGCAGACTCAATCTCTGTAGGCTTGGTAGTCTTGAAACATTATATAGACCAGGCTAACTTAGAATGCACGGAGATCCATTCACCTCTACCCCGAGTTCTGAGATTAAAGACTGAGCAACTACCACACCTGGCAACATTTAATATTTTAACAAGAGCTATCTATTCGTGGAGTTGTGTTGTGGTTTTTTAAGTCACATTGTTCAAAAGATTGAAGATTAAGTAAAAGTGCAGAGTGATGGCTCACACCTTCATCCCAGTACTTACCAGGCTAAGGCAAGAACATTGTTGCAAGTTCAAGGTCAGCCTGGGCTACTCTCAAAAAATACAAAACTAAAGGTGTTTTGATAAACTTTTTTGTTGTTTTGTCTTGTCTTGTTTGAGACAGGGTGTCATTGTAGCACAGGATGGTCTCAAACTCAATACTTTTTGACTTTGTTGTTATTTTTGAAACAAGGTTTCTCTACATAGCCCTGGCTTCCAACTCATAGAAACCTGCCTGCCTCCGCTTCCTGAGTGTTGAGCTAAAAGGCCCTTGCCACCACACTGGCATGTAACCCATTTTAAAGGCTGATGAAAACAGTGGTCAAAGGAGGCCAAAAGCATCTTACTATACGGGGGAAGGAAGCATGACAGCATGGCACATATTTAGGCTATAAATATGATTCATATTGTTTTGTGTGTGTGTGTGTGTGTGTGTGTGTGTGTGTGTGTGTGTGTGTGTGTGTGTGGTGTTTTGTTTTGTTTTTTCGAGACAGGGCTTCTCTGTGGCTTTGGAGGCTGTCCTGGAACTAGCTCTTGTAGACCAGGCTGGTCTGGAATTCACAGAGGTTCTCCTGTCTCTGCCTCCCAAGTGCTGGGATTAAAGGTGTACGCCACCAATGCCTGCCAGTTTTGTTACTTTTTGTTTGTTTTTATTTTTTACTTTTTTTGAGACAGGGTTTCTCTGTGTAGCCCTGTCTGTCCTGGAACTCACTCTATAGACCAGGTTGATCTTGAACTCACAGAGAACCACCAGCCTCTGCCTCCCAAGTGCTGGGGTTAAAGGTGTGCTCCACCACCACTGGCCTGTTTTGTTGCTTTTTCAGGTTTTTTTTTTGTTTTGTTTTGTTTTTGGTTTTTCGAGACAGGGTTTCTCTGTATTGTTTTGGAGGCTGTCCTGGAACTCGCTCTGTAGACCAGGCTGGCCTGGAACTCACAGAGATCCACCTGTCTCTGCCTCCCGAGTGCTGGGATTAAAGGCGTGTGCCACTAATGCCCGGCGCTTTTTCAGTTTTTGAGACAAAGTCTTAGTTTATATAGCTGACATGTGATGTCACAACACCCTATTCTCCCAGGGCTATGCACCATCACTTTCAGTATGGGGTCATACTCTTGTTTGTGAGCTCCTCTAAAATGGGATTTTTCTTTTCCATCTTTTTTCCTCTTAAACTTTCTTTTTACTTTTTTTCCCACATTATGTATTTTGATCCCGTTTATTTCCCGTCCCTTTGTATCCACCCTTTACCCTTGCAACCTCTCTGCTTCTTTTCCTTTCTTTTTCTAGACAGTATCTCATGTATGCTTTACGATTACTTCTACCTTTGAGTACTGGAATTACAAGGATGCAATCTAGTGGTTTTTGCATTGCTAGAGATCAAATGCAGGGCTTTGTGTATGGTAGGCAGGTATTCTGCAGACTCAGTCATATCCCTAGCTCCCAAAATAATTCATTTTAAAACAATCCCATCCCCTCCTCCTCAAGTCTTCAATAGCCTCCCATTTCTCTTTAACTCTGAAATACTCACCTAGCTTATAGGACATGGCTTGGCTCCAGCCTACTTTTTTGTTTTTGTTTCTCTGTGTAGTCCTGGAACTCACTCTGTAGACCAAGAATTCAGAGAGATCCGCCTGCTTCTGCCTCCCGAGTGCTGGGATCAAAGACATATGCCACCACAGCCCAGCCTCTCGACTACTTTTTCAGCCTCATCTTTAGTCAAGCCCCTTGCTCTCCAATTTCCTCCATGTTTGTAACTTATGCTGTCCTCACAGCCATCTGGTTTACTCTAAGAAAGCCATATATATATCCCCAATCACCTGGAACTATGGACTGATCCCAGGCTCTGTACAGGGACAAGCATAACACTACTGGGCTACAACCCCACACGACATTTCCTTTTGTCTTCCTGGAGTTCTTTTGCATGTGGATGTCAAGGACAGACATTGGGTGTCTTCCTCAATCATCATTTTCCACCATATATATATATATTAAAAAAATTACTTTTAAGCATATTAGTTTTGTTTGTAATGGTTTATTATTTTTACTTTATTTTATGTGCATTGGTATTTTCCCTGCATGTATGTCTGTGTGAGTATTGGATTCCACTGGAACTGGAGTTATGACAGTTGTGAACTGCCATGTGGGTGCTGGGAATTGAACCTAGCTCTCTGGAAGAACAGCCTGTGCTCTTAACCACTGAGCCATCTCTTCGGCCCAGTATACTAGTTTTTTTTTTTTTCTTGCCTGAATATATGTAAGCGTGGAACTAGTTACAGACAGTTGTGAGCTGCCATGTGGGTGTTGGGAACCAAACCTGGCTCCTCTACATAGTAGAAGCCAGTGCTCTTGATCTCTGGGCCCTCTCTCCAGACAACCATTTTATATACTGATGCCCATTGGGGTAGTCTAAGCACAAGTACTACAGGGAGGCTGAATGTCTACCCATTCACTGAAGTGGGTGTTAGGGAATGTAAGATGTAGTCTTCCTGCCTGCAGCCTGGGCCCTGCCGAGCTGTCTGAACCCCCAGATAACACACAGGACACTATATTAATTATGAAGCTGTTGGCCATTTGCTATCATTTCTCATTGTCTAGCTCTGACTTAATTTTTTTTTTTTTTTTTTTTTTTTTTTTGGTTTTTCGAGACAGGGTTTCTCTGTGGCTTTGGAGGCTGTCCTGGAACTAGCTCTTGTAGACCAGGCTGGCCTCGAACTCACAGAGATCCGCCTGCCTCTGCCTCCCGAGTGCTGGGATTAAAGGCGTGCGCCACCAACGCCTGGCCTAGCTCTGACTTAATTATTGACCCATAATCACCAATATCTATTTTTATAAGGACTTATCTTTCTGAGAATGCCCGACTTGTGTCCCCTCTTCCCGGGAATCACATGGTGACGACTCCCTTCATTACATTTCCCAGAATGCTCCTAGACTCCTAGTCCCACCTATCTTGCTTCCCTATTGGCCAGCAGTGCTTTATTCAACAACCAATAAGAGAGACATATTTACAGAATGATATCTCCCATCAAGGGATCTTTTTTTTAAGACAGAGTTTCTCTTTGTGAGCTTTTGAGACTGTCCTAGAACTTGCTTTGTAGACCAGGCTGGTCTCGAACTCAAAGAGATCAGTCTGCCTCTATCTCCTGCGTACTGGGATTAAAAGGTGTGCACTACCATGCCCGGAGTAAATTTTTTTCTTATTTTGGCTGGTGTACAGGAAAAATTAGCAGAATCATTGTATTTGGAGTAAATGTTAGAATGAAATAGTTGTTTTTCGTTGTATCTATGGTAAACATTAGAATGAATAGGTTTTTTTTTTTCTAGAAGTACTTAGACCTTGGAGAAATCATTTTGTTAAACAGTGACTGTTTTCTATTATCTATAGAGTTGTTTTTCTGAAGGAGCCTTACAGTCTTTGCATGACTTTGGTCACAAGACTATCCTGCCAACCTGGAGGTCTTGAATTATTGAGTACTGCGGTATACACAAGGACTAGTTTCAGGGGTGTGGTGTTTTCCCTCCGACCAGGAGCTTTGGTATGAGGAACTTGTTTTACCTCCAAAAAACCTTTTGTGTAACAATAAATAAACACGAATTTGCACGGATATGCGAGGTTCATTTCACAGAAACTATTCCTCTCTGCTGCCAGAGAATGTAAAATTCATCTTGGAGTGATTCTCTTTCTTTGATAGTCTCAGGCAACACCGAACAGCCGACAGTTTGGTTTCGCTTCTGAGACAGAATCTTAACTAAGTAGCCCAGGCTGTCCTGGAATTCCCTATGTAGACCAGGATAGCCTTTCACTCACATGGATCCGCCTTTCTGAGTACTGGGATTAAAGGCGTGTGCCTGTAATCAACGAAAGATCAACAAACAATAGGAGGCTCACAATCGTGTCGTCGGACTAGGGTAAATTTCTTGCTCTTAGCTGTCTTTCTTCAGGAAGTCGCTTCCTTGGGTCTCCGGAAACTCGGTCTTCAAAAATCGTGGACCATCAGTTCCCCAGCCCTCATTGCCCGCTTTTGTCCATTAGCCCAGAAGCGCCTCATCCCTAGGTACCGCCCCTTCCGCTCACGCTGCCAGGCGGCGACCGGAAATAAGCGGGCGCCCCGGAAGTTGAAGGGCGTGTTTTGCTAACTTGGCTTCCTCAACATGGCGGCGCCCTTGTGTGTGGAGGTGCAGTTCGGGTGAGTGAGAACTGGGGCGCCGTGGGGATGGAGAAAAGCTATAGGGCCTGAAACTCGGACTTCACTCGACATGCCGAGGTTACTGATGCCCTGCGTGAGCGGGGCCGCTCGCCTGGGCTCTCCACAGGCGCCATCTCCCTGGCCGACGAGGCCGTAAGTCCGAGAATAGAGGCGCACACATGGGCAGGAAGGTGCGCTGACAGCCCCTCCTTGGTCTTTAACGTATGGGACTCGGAGGCGTTGATAGTGAGCAGGTCATCTTCCAGCGTATTTTACCAGTGTCATTCCGAGCCCTACCCACCACGTCTGGTATTTGGACTCCTAAGGAGCCCATGAGTCTCCCTGTTGATAGTCCTTCAGTTCTGTCTTCCGGCGGCAATTTCCGCCTAGTTTCTTCCTAGATAAAGGTGTGGCTAAGGCAGCCCGTCCTCCCTCCCTCCCTCCCTCCCTCCCTCCCTCCCTCCCTTTCTTTCTCAAACCTGAGTTTTAATCCGACTCGAATCTCTTTCAAAGTAGTTTGATGAGTGCCTTCTGCAGACCTGGAGCCCAGATAACAACCGCGGAGGGAACCGCCACCATTGGCAGTGTGGTGTGCACAAGATGAAAAGTCCCGCAGTTGGGATGCACATTATTACTTGAAGGAACGCAAGGGAAATCGAAAAGCTTCTCAAATCCCTACTGCTTGGTTCTTCCAGCACACAGAAGGTCTGTCATAGTGTCAAAATCTGCAGAAGACAGACTTCGGAACTGAGAATAAAGAATTGAGCCTGTAGAGATGGGTGGGCGTGTCTCGAATATATGGAAAAGCTAGTGTGTGTGTGTGTGTGTGTGTGTGTGTGTGTGTGTGTGTGTGTGTACGTACGAACGAAGTGAAGGGGAAACTCTAGGGTAGAAATGTAAAATTCTTTCCAAATGCCTTTCTTCCCGTTGGATGCCTCCCCTCCTTTTATGTTTTCCCTTCACTGGGTAGTTCATTCACCAGTCACTTATTGAGTGCCTACCATGTGCCAGGCAGTGAGCCAGATACCAAGGATACAAAGATAAATAGCACTCTTGTCTGTTCCCTCCAGTGTTCAGTTTTTCTGTCCTTTGGAAGGGGGTAGTCTCATGAATGTTAAGTGCAGTTTAATTGATGATATTGTCTGGCTGCTTGGATTCAATTAGGACTACGTTGGTCTGGCCTCCTGACGTTTTTTTTTCCCCTCTGACCCTTAGCCCGGCTCACACCCTGCTCTCCCATCTCCCAGCCTGGGGAGAAGAGGAGGCTTCCTGATGCCTTGATCAGCCTTAGCAGTACTGAAAAGGAAGAAGCTACCGACTCTCACTGTTAATATTTACCCGTAGCCGAATGGCCTTTCCTTCTCAGTGAGTCAGACATGGTGCTTATTGATCAGAGATGTAGCCTGCCTGCCAGACACTGTGCTGCCAACAGTGAGGAAGTCCTAAAGTGAATAAGACAGTTGCCCTCCAGAGTCTACAGAGCTACGCCGTTGCTTCAGCTTCCCTTGCTTCTAAGAGCAATACTGAGCTCCAGCAGGACAGGACAACATTCTTTACCCACCTGTCCACCCTCTTCCACACTCCCCACATAAGTGACCCGTCAGAATCGTAGCTCGCTCTGCAGGGCTTAGTGTCTCATGGAAGGCAGCGGCAGTTGGATCTCTGTGATTTTGAGGTCAGGCTGTGTTACATAATGAGAGACCCTCCGTAAAAATAAAATGTTTGCCAAGGCCAGAAGCATTCCCTCTGTACTCCAGATCTGGTTTTATTTGGAGACAAGAGCTCACGATATAGCTCATGCTGACTTCAGACTTTCTGTGTTGCTGAGGCTGACTTGAGCTCTTGATCCTCCTCCTTTCTGAGCGCTGAGGTGACATGCATGTGCAGCCTTGCCTATCATCTTACATGTTTTCAACTTCTGACCTTTGGTTGACTGTGTCACTTGACAGCTGTGCTGCCTCACATTTACTATGAAGATGAGAAGATTTTCAAAGGAGCTGCACTGCCTTTTATTCTCTCCCCTCTGGTCCTAGAAATCTAGAAGCCGTGGCCTGTAAACCCTGAAGAGAAGTGATCCTCAGTACCACCAGCTCTGTTAGGTCCTTTAAAAGGTTTCCTATCTTTTTTGTGGGAGTTTTTCTCAAGACAGTTTTTCTGTTTAACAGCCTTGGCTGTCCTGGAACTCACTCTGTAGACCAGTCTGGCGTTGAACTTACAGAGATCCACCTGCCTCTGCCTCCTGAGTGCTAGGGGTAAAGATGTGTGTGTCACCATGCCTGACTCATCTTTTTCTTGTTAGGACCAATTCTGTCATCTTTTGACATGCCTTATGAACTGTTGTTAATAGAGGTTGTTAATAGAGGTGGTTTTATTTATGTATGTATGTATGTATTTATTTATTTTTTGAGACATGGTATTCAAGATGGCCTATATCTCAACTCTGTAGGTGGTAGGGGAAGCCGTAGAACTTCTGGTCTTTCTGCTTCCGTTTTTCCAGTGCTGGGATTACAGACATATACCATCATGATCAGTTTATGCTGTGCTGGGATGGACACAAGGCTTCTTGCATGCAACATGAACATTCTACCCACTGAGCTATACTTCCCAGCCCTAACAGAGCATTTTTTTCAGGACACACAGAATTGGAAGTATAGTAGTATAGTATAGGTGTGTTTGGAGTACCTCCTTTCCATGCTGTAATTACCTAGATTTGATTCCCTTTCCATGAGTTTGGGGAGGTGTTGGAAAGCCTGGATACACTATTGAGACTAGAGAAGTAATCAGATTAATTTATGTGGCAAATATTTTCAAAACCTCTGCTGTATGCCAGACTTTATTTCATGTAGAGTCTGTTTATGTTCTAGAAGGTAGATGGAGACTAAACATGCATGGGTAAATTTTTTGTTGAAGCAGGGTCTCATGTAACATAAGCTGGCCTTGAAGTCAATATGAGGCTGAAGTTGACTTTTAATTCTTGTTTCTCCTGCTTCTACTTTCCTAAGTGCTAGAATTATAGGCATGTGATATCATGCCTAGCTTTTAGATGGGTATATATTTTAAAGCAACTAGAAAAAGTGACTGAAATGTAGACCTGTCACTGATATTAGCAGACACATGCATCGAGAATTGGGGTATTGAGAGAAGATGGAGGTATCTTGGTTGAGATTGAATGGCAGGAATATCCTATAAAACAGAAGGTGTCCCTGGGGCCCAGACAACCCTCATGTTTGCCTCCCTGAGTCAGTCCTGAGGTTAGATGTGTGTCTTCTCTCACTCCAGACTTGCTGACAGAGTAACTGCCCCCAGCCAACCCAGCAGTGATGGGGCACTCAAAGCCTCATTGGTTCATTCTTCATCTGTTTGTAAGTGGAAAAACAGGCTTGGCCTCAGAGCCTGGCACTACCAGGTTTGACCACTCTTGATTATTTGCCTCTAGTTCCCACCCCACTTCTCTGATGCTGACGTCCTGAACCCCTGCCTGTCACCCTCCCCCAGCCCAGCTGCTGCATGTGCCAGCCCCTACCCAGCAGAAAAAGAGGCTCTTGGAAGGGGATAAATGGAAGTCCTGTGTGGACTTGCAGCTGAACCGCCCTGCGCACAGCCACAGATGGGCCCTTGCTCCCCCTCCACATTTTTGCATCAACAAAGCGTGACCTTGTTTGGATGACAGTCCCCCATGTTCCCCCCATGACAGTGTTTGCCTTGCCTTTGCCTCCTAGTGGGCTGCCTCAGGACATCTCTGTTCCCTGAGATTGGGAAAGGGTGGTAAGGTGAGAAATATCACATCCATCAAAATTCTGTTAAGGCCTTCTCAGTTCAGACCCATGTGAAGTCTGAGATGGGAATCAGGAAACCAGAGGAAGAAATAGTGTGGAGTACTGAAAGATCTACTGCCCACACCAGAAGTCCTGGTTTCTGAACTTGGCTTTGCTGGGACACAAAAAACAAAACAAAACAAAAAAACTGAACTGAACTCTGCTCTTGGAGAGCTTTCTGAAAGAGCTCCGGGGTTACCTAACTTCCCTGGCCTTCTACTATGTCAGATGGAATTAACAGTGTCTGCCTCCTCCCTGAGATGGCCAGTCGATGAAATGGGATGAGGGATATCCTATAACTGACATCACCTTGTGCTTAGTCAGGGCTAAGCCCAGTGGGTTCTCTCTGCCTCCATTGCAGTAGTACATAGAAGTGAGCAAGAACAGGGTTATTTCTTCACTTACCTGGCCAGAAATGCAAAGGGTCTCTAAGGTACCCCAGAAAGGGCAGCTTGGTGATTTTGGGAATAAGACCAAGGCTTGAAAAGGTGGGTACATGGCCAGGGGATGACTGGCAAGCAGAGGTAGAGCCTGATTTCTTTCCTGGAGACGGCAGCTCTGAAGCCTGAGTTCTACTGCTGTGTACTCAGTCAGCTGCCTCTCAAGAAAGCAAAGTTAAGGGGACTGGAGGCTTGAGTCCTCCCTAATAGTGAGAATTGTTTCTGTCTTCTTTACCACAGCAGAAAGTCGTTTTGAGAGGCAGTTCCTAGTAACGAGGCTGTTCCTGAACCCTGGCCTCTGCATCTCATCTTTCACCTCCAACTCTGCCCTAGGTAGCAGACTCATCTCAGTTCTGTTAGCAGTAACTTACCCTGCTGTCTTTTTTTGGCCTTCCTTTGTAGAGGTGGTGCAGAGCTCCTGTTTGATGGAGTAAAGAAACATCAAATCACCTTGCCTGGGCAAGAGGGACCCTGTGAGTATTGGATTTCCTGACTGCTTTCTGGGGCCATTGGGCATGGGTGGGTCAGTGGTGAAGTGGAAAAGGTCAGGATTGTCCTGGCCAGTAGCAAAACAAGAAACTGGAGAGGATATTTTGCCCTCCTTGCTGGGGCTGGCCAGCTCTGCAAGAAGGGCTGGAAGGTTGGTCTTTACATGGGGAATGGCTGGAGCAGTGGCTCATCTGTTAGGAGCACTAGATGCTCTTGCAGAGAGCCCAGGTTTAGTTCCCAGCATCATCTGTAAGTCCAGTCTCAGGGGATTCAAGACTCTCTTTTGATCTCTGGACACCAGGCACACATGAGGTGCACAGACCAACATATGCAGGCAAAACACTCATACAAGCCAGATGTGGTAGTGTACACCTTTACTAGCATTTGGAGAAGCAAAAGCAGGAAGGCCCAGTGGATCTCTGAGTTTGAAGCTAACCTGTTCCACACAGAGCATTCCAGGCTAGCCTGAACTACACAATGAGACCTTGTCTTTTTTTTTTTTATTGGGCCTGAGGGACTTGAGACAGTATTTCTCTGTGTAGCCCTGGCTGTCCTGGAACTCACTCTATAGAGCAGGCTGGCCTCAAACTCACAGAGATCCACATGCCCCTGCCTCCCAAGTGTTGGGATTAAAGGTGGGTGCCACCACTGCCCAGCTTGAGACCTTGTTTTAAGAAAACAAAACAAAACCGAGTGGTGGTGGCATATGCCTTTAATTCCAGCACACAGGAGGCAGCGGCAGGTGCATCTCTGTGAGTTCGAGACCAGCCTGATCTATAGAGCGAGTTTCAGGACAGGCTCCAAAGCTACATAGAGAAACCCTGTCCAGAAAAACCAAAAGACAAATAAATGAATAAATAAATAGATAGATAAATAAAAATAAAATGCCAGTTTGGGTTGGGCAGTGGTGGTGCAGGCCTTTAATCCCCGCATAGAGGCAGAGGCAAGTAAATGGGATTTTGAGGTCAGCCTGGTCTACGAAGCTAGTTCCAGGACAGCTAGGGCTGTTACACAGAGAAACTGTAAACAAAAGTAAAACAAAACAAAAAAAAAACATTTTGGCCGGGCGTTGGTGGCGCACACTTTTAATCCCAACACTCAGGAGGCAGAGGCAGGCGGATCTCTGTGAGTTCGAGGCCAGCCTGGTCTACAGAGCAAGTTCCAGGGCAGCCTCCAAAACAACACAGAGAAACCCTGTCTTGAAAAACCAAAAAAAAAAAAAAAAAAAAAACCATTTTGGGCTGAAGGTGTAGCTTAGTTGACAACAATTTGCCTAGCATGCAAAAGCCCTTTGTTCTGTATCCAGCACAGAATAAACCAGGCCTAAAACTGGGTGTGGTGGTGTGACCCTGTAATGTCAGCACTTAGAAGGTAGACCAGGATGACCAGAAATTCAAAGTTATAAAGAGTTTGAAGCTAACATAAGAGTCTATGTGCAAAATAAAATAGCACAAGTTGCCGGGCGTTGGTGGCACACGCCTATAATCCCAGCACTGGGAGGCAAAGGCAGGTGGATCTCTGTGAGTTCGAGACCAAGCCTGGTCTACAGAGTGAGTTCCAGAACAGGCTCCAAAACAATACAGAGAAACCCTGTCTCGAAAAACCAAAAAAAAAAAAAAGAGCACAAGTTATGTCTTATTTCTTCTTCTTCTTTTTTTTTTTTTTTGGTTTTTTGAGACAGGGTTTCTCTGTAGCTTTGGAGGCTGTCCTGGAACTCACTTTGTAGACCAGGCTGGCCTCGAACTCACAGAGATCCGCCTGCCTCTGCCTCCCGAGTGCTGGGATTAAAGGCGTGCGCCACCAACGCCCGGCCTCTTATTTCTTCTTTTTAAGTGTGTGTGTGTGTGTGTCTGGGTGAAGGTGTTGGGTCCCCTGGAGTTACTGACAGCTGTGAGCCACCATGTGGGTGCTGGAAATGAACCCAGGGATTTATTTCCTCTTAAATTTTGCTTGACACAAAAATATACACATTTTCACAATCCCATCCCCATGTCACTCACTAAGTACTCAGCAAGTGTCCCTTGAGAAGTAATCTTTTTATTCTTCTTAACGTTAGCATTGATGCCTTCTTTGTTCTGGTTCCTGCTTGTGACTGACCTAAGAGGTAGCTGCTATTTCCACTGGTTGATTAGTGGGTTTGTTGACTGCTTGACACAGGAGCTCTCTCTGTAGCCCAGGTTGCCCCTCTTCCTCTGCGTTCATCACAGGCATGCCCCACTCCTGCTCAAGTCAAGTTACAAGGTGGCTGGCAGGGAGGGCAGGGGCTGAGCAGCAGTTCCTGGGCGCTTTAAACTGCTTAGCATGCATTTCACAGCCTCCCTGGGGCCAGCTGTTCCTTTCTCTGCTCTCCAGGCCTGTTTGCTGATCCCTTTCCTACCTCCCTCCTCTCCCCTCCCCTCCCAGTCCCTGTGCAAAATTGCTTTTGAAAAGATCCACTTTCTGCTTAATTAAACAATGAGGAGCGTCCCCTCACACATCTGTAAACCTCCTTCTGAGGCCAGTTTAGCCCACAAACTGCTCCATTCTTACCCCCATTCACTTGTAAATGGAGCCTCTGAGGTTCCCTCCACCCCTCTTCCTTTCATTCCACCCATGCCAGCTCTTTCTTCTCCCTTTAGCTCAGGCCTGGGGTGGGAATCCCAGAAGAGCCCTGCCTTAGAACTGGAGCTGATAGACTCGGTAGGGAAGGGACAGTTTTACTTATGGGCAGGATTTAGGGGCCCAGGTAGAGGTGAGAAAACACTTTTGTTGGCGTGGGCCCTGTGCTCCCACAGGCTCAGGGACAGGAATGCCAGAAAACACACTTTACGTGGAGAGAGCAGTTAAAAAAAGGTGCAGCCCTTGTCTCCTGTGTGCTCACAAGCCAGGGCGGTATCTCTCAACTCGAGGTAGTGGGTTCTCAACCTTCCTAATTCTGTGACCCTTTAGTGCAGCTATTGCATTGCTGCTTCATAACTAGTTCTGCTGCTACTGTTGTGTATTGTGATGTCAGTATCTGATATGGAGGACTTCTGATATGCCATCCCCCAAAGGGGATGCAACCCACAGGTTAAGAACAGCTGCTCTAAGGAACCCTGCGGGTGTAGGTTGTCAATATCTCCTCTACTCGGGCAAAGGATTCTGGGTGGAGGTTCCATTTTCTTTCTTATTTTATCATATAAGGTTACTCAAGACCATTTTTTCCCCCAAAACTATTTTCATGCCAAGTGTAGTTTGAGTATATTCCTTCACTTTTGTGATCCTCTGTAAGTCTCTTTGAGGTAGGTGCTCATGGAACCCAGGCTGGCCTATAAACTTTCAACCTCCCAATTGCTGGGCTTGCTGGCCTAGTGAGAGGTTTCATGCTTTTACTCTAGGATGGGCAACCAAAGTTCCTATGCCACAGCCACTTTTAGGTCAGAGATACGGAATCAAGACTTGAGTACACAGCTTAGAGCCCCCATCTGTTGAGTGTTCCCTGTGTGTTTGATGCTGATGCCCTGCTGTTAGCATATTGCCTTAATCCTCACAGCAACCTTTAGAGTGTGGATTATTATCCACATTTGTCAGGATAAATGATACCAATACATTGAGGGGAAGTGACTTGTCTGAGGCTATCTAGCCTCAATGCAAGCCTCTCTATTTGACCTTTACCTGTCCACCACAAAGCTGCAGCACCTTTCCCTGCTGTTCCCTGTTGGGCCAGCCAGGCCAAGGCCTCTTACACTGCAACCCTTGCATTAGAGTACCCTTTTCCTCCCCAACACTGAGTGCATGGCCAGCTATGGCATGCACAGCCTTGGAATGTGAATCTTCTCACACAGCTTGCACCAGGAGCTGGACCAACCACTGGCATAAATGGGAGGAAGATGGCAGGAGTGATGGCATGTACCTGTAGCCCCAACAACGAGGGAGGCTGAGACAAGAGTATTGTTTGAGGCAGGAACTCAGGCCAGCCTTGGCAACCTGGGAAAGAAAACCAATGTGTGGACCCCACACCCTTTCTTCTTTCTTTCTTTTTTTTTGGGGGGGGGGTTGAGACAGAGTGTCCTGGAACTAGCTCTTGTAGACCATGCTGATCTTGAACTCACAGAGATCCACCTGCCTCTGTCTCCCGAGAGCTGGGATTAAAGGCGTGCGCCACCAACGCCCGGCTCTTTTTTTTTTAATTATTTATTATGTATATAGTGTTCTGCCTTCATGTCAGCCTACACACCAGAAGAAGGCACCAGATCTCATTATAGAGGGTTGTTAGCTACTATGTGGTTGCTGGGAATTGAACTCAAGTCCTCTGGAAAAGCAGCCAGTGCTCTTAACCTCTGAGCCATCTCTCCAGCCCCCTTTCTTATTTGCTTGTTTGTTTTGTTTGTCAAGACAGGGTTTCTCTACATAGCCCTGACTGTCCTAGAACTCGCTCTGTAGACCAGACTGACCTTGAACTAACTCACAGAGATCTGCCTGCCTCTGCCTCCCATGCTGGAACTAAATGTCTACACTACTACCTCCCTGCTATACTCTCTCCTATTTCTTTTTTTTTTTTTTTTTGGTTTTTCGAGACAGGGTTTCTCTGTGGCTTTGGAGGCTGTCCTGGAACTAGCTCTTGTAGACCAGGCTGGCCTCGAACCCACAGAGATCCGCCTGCCTCTGCCTCCCGAGTGCTGGGATTAAAGGCGTGCGCCGCCAACGCCCGGCTTCTCCTATTTCTTTTGCTTCCATCTGGCTTCCAATGAGCACATACCATATCCCACAGAAAGCCCAAGACCTACCTGATTAAGGCAGGGTTCTGGGCGATGGGCAGAGCATATAGAAAACCAACATATTTGAGAGTCGAGTCCAGAGGAGATAGTTTCTTTCCCTGGATTCAGGAATAATTGATAGTCTAGGCACAACTCTAAGATTGTCTTATTTGATCCTTATAACAGCACATTAAAAGTCTTTTTAATTTTATTTTTATGTGTATGGGTGTTTTGCCTGTATATAAATCTGTGTACCATGTGCATGCCTGGTACCCATGGAGATAAGAACAGGACTGGAGTTGTAGATGATTTTGTTTGGTTGGTTGATTTTGTTTTTTTTCAAGACAGGGTTTCTCTGTGTAACAGCTCTGGCTGTCCTGGAACTAGCTCTGTAGACCAGGCTAGCCTTGAACTCACGGAGATCCACCTGCCTTCCAAGTGCTGGGACCAAAGGCATGCGCAGCCACCACCCAGCTTTTTTTTTTTTTTTTTTTTTTTTCTTTTTTAGAGAAAGCTGAGGCTCTGAGAATCCCCTTCCTGAGGTCATATTGCTAGGAAGGAATGGAGTCTAACTTAAAACTAAAACTGGCAGGCATGCTGATGCACACCTGTAATTCCAGGATTTAAGCGATGGAAGTCCCAGGCTTGGGATTTCTCAACTACATAGCAAGTTTAAGGCCAGCCTGGCTAATGAGACTCTTGTCTCAGATAAACAATTATGACCATCACCGTCTCCCTCCCTGCTGGTGTACCACTGGCATCTTAGGTTAGAGCTGTGAGGGCAACATCCCTGAGCTCTCAGACTCCACTCTGGGAACGGCTTACGGTGCCATATTATGTGGCAGGACAGAGAAGCTTGGAGACATGGGACTAGGAGGCACTCACAACTGCCTCATCAGTACCACTAGGGTTTAGGAGGGAGCAACCTCGTTTGGAGCAGGCCTTCCCCAGGGCTCTCATGCTGTTCTTCCTGCCGTCTCCATTTTGCTGCCTTGAACCTAGCAGTTGTATGGTGCCTCAGCTCCTCCCATATGTGCTTCCTTCTGTCCAGAATGCTTCCCCCACCCAAGCCCATTCATCCTTCAGGCCTAAGCTTCAGTGTTAACACTCTTGGAAAGGCTTTTTCTGGTCCCAAAGGAGTTAGCACACACCACAGCTAATTAAGTAATGTCTGCCACCTCTGCTGCCCTCTCACAAGGAAGGCTCCATATCCTTCTTGCTGGCCACCATCACCCTAGTGCATGGCACGGGATAGTTGCTCAACAAATGTTTGTCTAGTGAATGGCGGCTACAGGAGGGAGAACTTGCTCAGGATGAGTTGGATGGAAGGAAGAAAGATAGTGGGAAGGTGAAAGTAAGGTTCTTACCCTCCATCTATCCCAGAGCCACCCCAAACCACCAGTCCCTGACTCTGCTTAACCCTTCCTCCTCCCCTGGGCGCCTTTGGAAGCCGACCATCTGGCTTGGAGCCTATTTGCATATTGTCTGGGCCTCAGCAAGCCAAGCAAGATGTCCCCGGGGGTGCGTTTCAGGCCAGGCTGAGTGGCCCTTGCAGCCTGAGAAGGGAGTCATGAGTTCCACCTCTCCCCACCCCCAAATCCAGGCACAGGGACAATACTGGCTGCTGTGATGCAGCAGCCTCACCATGGTAACAAGCTATCAAAAATGTAGGCGGGCCTGGAGTGGGGGGCAGGCAGAAGAGGGAGGGAGTGACCTCAGCAAATAGGAGCATCATGATAAATGAGCCAGCACTGGGCAGCAGATTCATCCCCCAGCCACATCTCTGGGAGTCCATGACAGTGTCATCATGTGGATGACCCCAACATGACCACTATCCCTCCTTTATTCCCAAGCTATCTAGAGTGGAGCAGAAACATCCTCTTGGAGGGAGCCAGGGCTATTCCCCCAAGAACCCTGATTCTATACCAGCAAGTCAGGACTGTCAGATATAGTCTGTGGTCACTGGGTCAACCTCTTCCCAGTCCTTCGTGTCCAAACACAAGCACGGCCCTGGCTGCTGAGGCTTTTGAGGCTGGCTGATGGATGTGTCAGACTCCAGCAGTTCTATCGAACAACCAAAGATGTATGGGCTGGCGGCCCACCAGACAGGGCCAAGAGGATTCAGGACCAAGGAGAAGCCTCTGCAACCTGGGCCTTGGGGAAGAGTCCACCAAGAGTCCAAGTTCAGCTTGAGGGAGGCAGCACCCTCCCTCCTCTCCTTGGGGACTACATATTTGCTTAGTTAAAAAGGAATTTTAGTCAGACTGTTGTGGCACACACCTTTAATCTTAGCACTCAGAGACAGAGGCAGGTGGATCTCTGTGAGTTTGAGGCCAGCCTGGTCTAAGAGTGAGTTCTAGGACATCCAGGGCTACACAGAGAAACCCTGTCTCCGAAAGCTATAACAAAAGGAACTTTAAATTGGGAGTTGGCAGCTTTAGTCCATGAACACTGCTTGTTACCCTGTGGGATGTTTGTGTCCAGCAAGAAAAGGACTAGTCTATCCATACTGCATCTTCCCATTCCTGTGCGAACCCAAGGCTAGGCTTGCATGTGCACTGCAATATGGAGCTCACACTGGGAGCAGAGTGAGACTTCCCGTGTCCTAGCAGTCCTTTATGCCAGGACTTTGGCCTCTAGGAGGATAGCTCAGGCCACATTTTCACCTTGCTTCAGCTTAGCCTCAGAGCTTTGTCTCAGGTGCCTTCTACAACACTGACTCAGGCCAAGCCTCCTATGGCTTCCTAAATGGTAGTTGTTTCTCGAGGACCTTTGTTCTCAAGTCACCTGTGAGAGCAGGACCTCTAGGAGAGGAGCCTCAAAAACAATCTGAGTGAAGAGTGGTAGAGGTCCTTGGTACCATGGCCTTTATAGATGCAAGCCAACCCCAGTTTGCTGTGGGCTGGTCCCCTACTCCTGAGAAAGGCTAGTAACCCTGAAAACTACCTCCTCCATATTCTGCACAAAGAGACTGTTAGCCAACCCAGAGCCCTGGGTGTTCCGCAGCCCAGAACCTCTTGCTTAGGCAAGGTGGCCACCCCTTGGGGCACTGCGAAAGTGGGGGTAGTGAGCAGTGATTTGTCAGTGTCCGCCTGGTGAGGAGCCTTCTCTCCCTCTGCTAGAGGAAATTAACTGATGTTATCTGCTCAGCGATTGTTTTTCTCCCCTCACAAAGGGAAATATATGCAGACCCTGCCTGTGAGCAAAGCTGAGGCCTCCCTCGCTGGACTGGCAAGAGAGATAAGATGGCAGTGGCTCTTTGATGCCCTCTAAGCAGCCTCGCTGAGGGGACATCAGCCCAGCTCTGTCTCTGAGTTCTTTTTTTTTAATCCTTTTAAACTATGTGTACGTATGTGTGGGCATATGCATGTGAATACAAGTGCATGCAGAGTTTAGAAGACAGTATTGGATCCCTGGGAACTGGAGGCGTAGGTGTGGGTGCTGGGCACTGAACGTGGGTCCTCTGAAAGAGCAGTACCTCCCCTTCACCACTAGGCCGCCTCTCCAGGCCCTGTCTCTGAGTTCTTTGTACTTCTTCCCACTGTGCCCTCCGCTGTGCAGAGTCCACTCTCTCTGCAGACCCTTCCAACGTCACTGTGCAGTGTCCACTCTCTCTGCAGACCCTTCTGACTGACGGTCACTGTGCAGTGTCCACTCTCTCTGCAGACCCTTCTGACAGTCACTGGCCTCTCCTCATCAGGTTTAGGAGCCTGGGAATGAGTTGGGTTTGACCTTGGTTTGTTCTATGCCTCCCTCTCTAGGGGACGTCCGGAACCTCCTTGTCTGGATCAAGAAGAACTTGCTGAAAGAGCGGCCAGAGCTGTTCATCCAGGGAGAGAGTGTGTGAGTTCCTATCCCCCGTGCCTGAGCAAGGCAGAGAGAGGGAAGGTTGTCTAAACCTACATCTCAGGGTTCTGGATATCTTATCCTCTTGAGTCCTCTGGCCCCCTATTTTCTCAGACTCCTGTGAGGAAAAAGCCGTGCTCTAGTCTGTTTCTAGTTTTCTTCTGGTTGAGGTTCTTAAAAGCCCATATGAAAGGAGCTTGGTAAATTTTCCCTAAAAATTTGAATTATGCTTCTAGTTACCACCAAATGCAGAAACTTAGGTGAGTTTCTTTGCTTCTCCTGGCCTCAGGCATCCTCTGTACAGGAAATACTAAGAAAGCCATTTTTATCAGTGCTGTCTGGTGGTAGCTGCTGCCACTTGTGCCTGGTTAAACCCTCAAATTCATCAGTGTGACTCAGAAACTACATACTCCATTTTAACTGGGTGTGGTGGTGCACACCTTTAATTCAGCTCTTAGTAGTCAGAAGCAGGTGAATCTCTAAGTTTTAGGCCAGTCTGGTCTATAGAGGGTTCTAGGACATCCAGGGCTACAGGCTGGACATATGGATCATGGATCAGAGGTTGAGAGCAAGGACTGCTCTTCCAGAGGACCAAGTTTACTCGATCCCAGGTAGCTCACAACTGCCTGTCTCTCTCTGCCTCCAGCTCTGCACCCACATATACACACATGCACAGAATTAAAAATCAAATAACACTCAAAACACTCCCATTTTCTTTCTTTGTCTTTGAAATGGCTATGTGTGGTCAGCAGGTACAGTGTGCGGCATCACAGAGGAGGTTCCAGGTCACTCCATGCACCTTCCCACTCAGACACACACAGCTAGTTCCCCAGCTGTTCCAACCTGCTAGCAAAAACCCAGGCTCCTCATGCCAAGCCATTCTACTTCTAAACAAGGATGGTCTCCTATGTAAAGGAGGTGGGCCATGAAATTGGGAGACTTTTGTCTGCCTTCAAGAATGGATCAGGACTACTCTCCAGTCTGCAGTTTCTGGCACAGCAGTCCTGGAAGCCACCTGTATGGACATCAGTGCTCCCTGGACCATTTCCAGTAGGAACCAGGACTGACTCCAGTAGGAACCAGCATTTAGGTGCCTGGTGCCACTGACAGTTTTCTTTGGCCCCAAAAACTGAGCTTGTCTTCTCCAGAATAGGCATCCTGGAGACCTAGAAGCCAAAGCCCTTCCTTTCCAGAGCCTGGGAGAGTAAGATTTGACACTGGGAAAATTAGATTCCTTTTGCTGGTTACTGAGACATAGTGGCAAGCAAGCCCTGCACACTATTTGTTATATCTCTCCACGGTCCTTAGAATTGGCTCTGTTTTCACGTGGACAAAGCTGATGCTAAAGAAGTAAAATGCCTTGCCTGAAGTCTGGGTGATGCTGACCCTTGCCCTCAGAACCGTGATTATCTGTCCTGGTTTCCTGACCATGCAGACTGTGGTTTTGACTTGTTGGGAAATCAGGAGGAAAGTTTCCCCCATACTCCTGCAGCCACAGACTCTGAGCCTCCTGCCTTCCATTTCCTGCCCCTCACTCCCGTCTTTCCCACAGGCGGCCAGGAATTCTGGTGCTGATTAATGATGCCGACTGGGAACTGCTGGTCAGTACCTCTAGTGACACTCTTCCCCAGCCCCTGCCTTCAGTGGGAAACCCTGGGCCTCTGATCAGTCCAGGGCCTGGCGGGGCAATCTGTCTCATTCATAACCCCCACCCCATCCCTGGGCTATTCCTGTCTTCCATCTCAAATGAGGAGGGATTGAATGGCTGCTGGGGAGGGAGGCAGGGAGCTCACCCATCCTGGAGATTTGAGAGTCGATGTGTAGAGTCTCCATTTTTCTGGTGAGGTTTTTCTTTCATTCCCAGAACAGCTACCTTTACCCTGTCCCAATGCCTGGCAATTACCTGGACCGTGCTCTGATGGTCCCTGTCCCTCTTTCCTGCCCCAGGGGGAGCTGGACTACCAGCTGCAGGACCAGGACAGCATCCTCTTCATCTCCACACTGCACGGCGGCTGAGGGCTCCTCTGTGAGCCTAAGCACCTTTGCAAGGGGAGCACAGCACAACCACACCTCTCCTTGGACACTGCTTCCAGGTCCTCAGTCCCCCCTTGGCTGCCTCCTTCTCTGCTGTATCCCTGAGCTCCCTCTAGGCAGGGAAAAGAGGCCAGGTGCTAAAAATGAGCCTTTCTGGGCAAGGCACATGAGCAGGGAGGGAGAGCAGACGCCCGAGCCCAGCACTCCCTCCAGCAGCTGAGGTGGGGGAGGGTGCTCCTGTGACATGTCAGCAGTGGAGCGCTCAGTGCCCAGGTGACCCAGCTGCTTGCCACTCCTGTGTCTTGGTATATCTAAGCACCAAGTGACTGCCTGGAAGGTACTTCAATTCCTGAGACATCTTCATGGGGAAGATGGATGAACTGGAGTAACTGATGAGAAGCTCCTTCCTCTCTTTCCAAAGATTAGACTGGCCTCCGCCTCAGTTTCCCCATCTGGACACTGAGGACTCTGCTTGTCCCCCACTGATGTCATTATGGAACCCCAGCTGGGGTCCCCTATTCAGTGCTCACCTCCCTCCCCTCCACCCAGCAGCTGCTCTCCTAGCCACACCCCTCCTCCTGTGCCCCCCATCCCCAGCCCTTGACCCTGGCTGGCCTCCCCCCCACATAGGCAACCAGATGGGCTCCTGAGACACTCTCCAGGCTGCCTACGACTCATTCTGCTGAGGGTAGAGAATGGAAGGAAGGAGCCTAACCTTAGACAGAGGGGGCAGGACCTCAGTGTGTAACTCCCAGCTCCCTGAGACAAGCAGGGTAGATGGAGACCTGTGCTCCCTTTCCTCCATCCCTTCTGGGAATTTGGGGACCTCGTGCCTACAACAGCTGACTTTGGGCAAATAAAAAGACTAGGTTGTTTACTAGCCTTGTTTGACGCTTCATCCTTAGAAACTGGAGGTACTCTGTATCCCTAAAATCTAGGTCTCTGTCCTGAGCCAGGGGCCAGCTGGCCTTCACCTGCAAGGCTAACACATGAACTGTTCCAAAGAGAGAATGGTTCAGTAGGGCCATCTGGAGAAGAGAGTGTAGACCTGTGACGATCAGTATAGATCCTAAGTCATTCTCACCAACCAGTCTAACTCTAGGCATTGTTCTGCCAACTGCAGTCAGCAGCCCCAGAACCCAGAAGAGGGGTGTCCTGAGTAAGACTGCTGAGCTCCATGGCTTCCATGACTTGCATTAAAAAGCTTCATCTGACCCTAAGTGTTGCTTTTCATGAAATGTCAGTGAGGCGGAATTTCTTACCTACATACATGAGAGTGCCTAATGTAGGCCAGTGTTGGGGAGTGGAGAGCACTGGGCCCATGGTTGATGAGCTGCTTCCCAGCCACTGCCACAGAGCAGACCCCTTGAGCTTGTGTGGGTGGGAGCAGCCATGTTCGGGTTACCGGTAGGGACTGGCTGGGTGCAGATTAAGGCCAGTGTTGAGTCCAAATGCTGTTGAGGCTGTGCTGATGTCAGGCTTGTCATTTTAGAGGGTCAGCCTGCCCTAGTTCCCGTCACGCTCCCTCCCTGCAGTGCCTTCTGCAGTTGATGTGTTAGGGGATTTCCCTTCTGCTATGGCACCCCAGTTAATGCTGAGCATTTAGGAGGATGGGTTGAGGAAAGCAGCTTTCCCCATCCCGGGTGCCAGTGCCATCATGCAAGGAGTCCATTCACCCTAGTCCACTCAGCATTTCAGAGACAAGTGACTCAGCCCATCAGCCCCGCTCCCATGCAGCTCATGACCCTTGCTTTTGAGGAAATAAACAAGTCCCACTACCTTCGAAGATTTTTCTTTAATGAAAAGGATTCGTTTGTCCAAGTTCTTATTTCCAAAGCCAAGGCGGTTGCCCGGCTGGAGCGCATCATTCCCCAGCTTGTCGGTTTCTGGCAGCAGTGGGAGGCTCAGCCCATCAGTCGGTCCAGAGGAGCTTGTGGGAGGGGTTGGTTGGCTGGTTTGGGATATACGGGTTGATTTCGGATTTTTTTGTTGGTGTTGTTTGGGAATGCTGGTTAGGGGACAGGTTGGAACAAATTCAAAACGAGTTAGTGAACGAATTCTGCTGGCATCTGCCTTCACCCCTGACTAACTGCGGCTGTGATCAAGGACTGGCTACACGAACCATATTCGGGTCCCGCCGCTGTATGCCAGCTTCGTTACGGCTGAAATTGGAAAACGGAAAATCGGTGCGATCAACTGGAGGACCCTGCCAGCCGACACGGGTCATCCTAAGAGGAGTGGACGAAGGAAGGAGGCGAGGATGAGGATGGAGGCTCTGCTCGCAAGAACTAGTGTCCCTTCTTTGCGCGCCAGGCTGGGGCCACTATGCCCGTGCTGGGACCTGCTGGCCGCCGCCCGGGGTCTCCTAACCCCAGCGCGGACCCGGTTTCTGTTGAGCCCGGAGCTCAACCACAGATGTCCAGCCACAATTCTCGGTTGGCCGCAGACTCGTACAAGAATTGCGTTTGGACAATCAGTGGCGAAGCCCCTGAGTTCAGGGCCCCGGTCTCCTGCGGGGTTCTGCCTGGCTCCTTAAAAGCGCACACCAGATCTCGGGAGCTGTGCGTCGAATACCTTGTAGAAGCTCATCAGTCTCAGCCCATCCCGCGGTAAGGTGGACAAGCGGGCATGCAGATCCCAGCCTTGCACGGGCATCCCCATCGCCCCCAGCGTGTTTCCTTCCACCGTGGCCAAGAGTCCCTAGAGTAACCCGCGTTGTGTTTATGGGCCACCCCAGCTTGGAGGAATATCTGTCAGGCCCAGGGAGGGAACCCTGACTCCCCTCTCCCCGCCCCCAGACCGGTCTCTCCGGGAATCCAGAAAACTGGGGCCCGAGGCTGGTGGCGTTTCTGAGCCCGGGGTCTAGGGTGCTGGACTCAAGGGGCCCCCTCCCCCGCCCGGCCCCGCGCACGCACCAGCTCGGGCGCTCTCTGCTTCCTTGTGGCTGAGTCGCGGGTGGCGGTAGCCCGGGCGGCGGGGAGCGCCGGAATGCGCCGCCGGGTCACCTGCAGCGCCCAGGGAGCCCGACCGGGAGCCAGCATGCTGGCGAGGTGCAAGGCTGAACCCGAGCGGGCGCCTCTGGCGGCTCGGGGCCGGGGCGGGCTTTTAGTGGGCCGCTCCAACAATACGGGCCTGGCGCGGAGAAAGGGGCTCGGCTGCAATTGGTACTGGATTTGAATAACGCCACGGGGCCATCAATGGTCATTGTGTCGACGGGTAATGAATCTCCGCTGTCTCTCGGGCTGGCCAGGCAGCTGCAACCTGCGCTCAGGCAGCTCTTAAAGACATAGCATGCCCCTCCCTGGGGGCCACCCCCCCTGCACCGGCCGGACCCTGTGCCCTCCCACCCCCACTCAGCACCCTCCACTCCTGATGCCCCGCCTGCTCCCTCAGCCTGACCCCTTTGCCGGTGGCCCCCTCCCTCCAGGGCCAGGCACCCACATCTCGGTCCTGGACTCTGGACCTGAATCAGTCCTCTCTGAGCTTGGCTGAACTCCCCAAGAGTGCCTAGAGGACCCCAGGATCTTTTGAGGCCCAAGCTGCCTCCCAGCTACTTTATCTGTAGTTTCTGGAGTCCTCTCTCCTTAAGGTTCCTTCCCAGGGGTTTCTCTGAATTGTGAAGGGGTAACAGTCTGGAGGTCAGAGGGTCACCATTCCCCCCTTAGAACGCGCATCTGAAGAATAAGTCCCAACCAACACTCAGAGGATGCAGTCTCCAGAGACCACACCCCCAACAGGGATCTGGAGGCTGTCCCTTCCCCTCCCCAAGGACAAGGGCTTGATTCCCAAGCTCCTGAACACCTAGCAGCAGCACCAGCACCAGCGATGGGGGAAAAGGTGTCTGTGAAAGGGCTGGCCATCTGTTAACACTTGTCTGCTATGTCTTCCCTCGGATGGCCCACCCTCCCGAGGCTCAGGAGCTCTAATGTACCCTGAGCAGCTCTGATCCAGGAAAGGTCCAGTCTGCTGGCTACAAACCACAGATTCTCATCCCAGAGCTCAGCCTGGCTTCCCCTAGTGAGTGTCACACCCCAGAGGAGAGTGAGTGGCTGGCGGCTTCTTGCATCCTGCCTTCTGTCCATTCCAGGATTCCTCAAGCATCCTAGCATCCTACCTCCTCCGTGGCAGACTCGGCACTTTCATCCTGAAATATTCTCTTGTTCTTACCCTATGGGAAGCCCAGCGTGTGGTCAGCTTCACTGTGGTTGTAGATTTGTCCGATTTTCCTCACTAGCGCAGGAAGTGGGTCCGGTGGATCTTTGTGACTCTGGCTCTTACCCCCTATGGCACCTTTCCTCAACCACTCATTAAATTTGTGTAGGTGTTTGCTTGTCCTTTGACTTAAATGTCAACTACACAGACTTTTGGAGTTTTTCTTAACAAAACTATAACTTCAGGGTTTATAAAAATCTCAACTCTGGGAACGTTCCCCTTAATGTTGATAGTAAGTGCCTGTAGTCTCTGCTACTTGGGGCAGCGGAGGCGGGAGGATCACTTGAATCCAAGAGTTCCAGACCAACCTGGGTAATATAGCAAAACATCTCAGATAATGAGTGATTAAGAAAGGTGGCATCTTGCTGGATTCTGGCAGCAACCTAGGAAGTAGGTATATTATCAGCTCCATTTTACAGATGAAGAAACAGACCTGTGACTAGGAGCCAGCTGGGAGATGATGGAAGCAGGGTTGGAACCTAAGATTGTGCAAACTATTTCCTAGTCTTTCCTTACTTAGCAGATGCAGAGGAACAGACTTAAGTGTGCTCAGAGCAGTGGCTTCTAGGAGACACTGCTTAAATTATAATCCACTGCAGTCTGGTGTGAACACAGCCTGTGTGGGTTGGGCATGAAACTCCGCAGGAATGGAGAGCAAAAAAGGGCTTTTCCCTTCTGCCACCTTCTCCTCACATCAACACTGCTAATTTGGTTTTGTTTGTCGTACTAGGGATCTAACCAAAGCCTCCAGCAAGTGTTCATTCACAGCCCTGATAAAGGTGTCCTCACCCTTACCCTTATATTACCCTCAAGAATGAGGAGCCAGAGAAAATCCTTCCTCCAGTCATTGCACATTTATGGAATGCCTGCCCTGTGGTAGTCAGGACAGCAAAGGACAGGCGTTCCCAAGGCGGTAACCCCGTGTACAACTGAGGCAGATCATAGAGAATGAAGACCCGAGAAAGTACGTTGAAGATGGACTCTGCAGGGACAGAGGTTCCTGCAGCACCAAAGCCAGCAGGCAGGAAAGATCATGAGTATCGACTAGAGATGGGATGCCTGGTTGTCTGCAGCTCAGAGAGTTTGGGATGAATTAGAGGCCCACCCTCCCAAGCCGGGTAGGACATTGGGAGGATCTGAGATTTCACCCTAAATGCCACGGGATCCTGAAAGGCCCTGACAGACAAGTTTAGGTGTGCTGGGGGCAGAATGGGGAGGGGGAAGGAGAAGTTGAGTAATCTGATGCAGACTAAGTTAATCTTAATCAGTGCTGGTGAGAGCTGGCAGTATTGGAGCAGGGTCCACCTAAGTTTATGGCAGTCTGCACCAACACTGTCAGTGAGCACTTAGGGTGTACATTGACAGCTAAGAGAGGAGAAAGATAACAGTGCTTCTATCTAGCCAACCCAGTGAAAGAAGCAGAGCCAGGGGGAAACACTCTCTGATTGAAGGGTTGGCAGATTTCTCTGGAATTACAGAAGGGAGAGATTCATTCCAACAGAAAGATAAGAGAAAACTGGAAGCAGCATTACCATGGACTTCTAGGACAGGGGAGCTGAACCATGGTTATGACCTGTGTCAAGTGGGCTCCTTGGTGGGGGTAAAATCCAAACATGTGGCACCTGCTTCCAGTGAGGAAGGCTTTATCACACCTTCAACACATGTGTG